GGGGGGGGGGGGGAAGAAGAAGGAAATATATACACACATATATGCTGTAAATTCAATAACCTCTTTTTTTTGCCTATACATTCTGTTTTTTTTTATTATTTACTTTTTTTTCTTTTCTCTCCGTGTGTGTGCAAGTCATGGTGTTGATGATTAATTTTCTTCTCCCTGTTGGTGGTGATGTGCGTGATTGTGCCTACACACAAAAACACACATTCATGTTAAAGGGAGCGGGAAACGAATATGAGTGCTCTCGTCACGCGCGCCTGCACGCATCGCTCACACAAATGTCACTTCCCATGACTTTATTTCCCCCTCCCCGGGAGTTGTGCGATGAAAAAATTCCACCGGCACCGAGAACGTCGAGAGGGCGAACGGATGGTGGCAGGAAATTTTTTTTGGGTGGATGGGAGGCGGGAGTGTGAGGCTCCGAGGGAAAAAGAAATCAAGAGTCAATTAGACACACCCACACCCGCCTAGAAGAGTGTAAAAAGCACGCAAAAAGCAAAAAAAAAAAAAAAAAAGAGAAAAGAAAAAGAACTAAAAGCGAGGAGGATGTCGAAAAGGCCGTTTCTTCTTTGGGTTTTTATTGTGATTTTGAATTTATTTATCTATTTTCCTGCTGGTCTGCTTCTTGAAGAGTGGGCACCGTGGGTGCTGTCTTTTATCTACGTTTTTTTTGTCATTTGCTTTTGTCTTTTACTTCTTTTTTTATTTTGTTTTAAGCGTTTTCAAATGTCCGATCCGCTCCGTGTGACGGTGGAGTGTTGGGAGAACCAGCGGTACCACCCATTGAGGGGATGGGGGTTTCATCGCTTGCCGATGGATCGCAGCACATGGTCGAACAAGAAGGGCGACGCTGTAATTTGCCGTGACAGTTTCCTCACCCCGGTTGGGTGGGTCTGGTCGTCTGACTGGGAAGTGGCGCCGAACGGGAATGAAAGTGATGGCTGGTTTTATGCTGCTGATTTTAGCATCCCGACGCGCTTCTGCTCCGCCATACCGAATGCAATGAGTTATGTACGGCGACGGCGTTGGGTCCGCACGCGGATGCAAGTTGCGGCGGACACCGGCGTTGATTCTGTGCTGCTTGATGCGTTGAGCCTCTCTTCTAGCTTTCAGGCCGATCCACGCCTCGTTTGGCTTAACACTTCCTTCTACGGCTTTGTTGGTGCCTCTGTGAAGGAGCAGCGGGAGAATCAACGTCTCCAGCATCTTAGTTGTTATCATTTACATCGACTTCTTGACATTTCTTGTTCCGAAACGAGCGTGGACAATAATGATGACGATGATGATTTGTGCGGAGAAGAGAAAAATGGACGCGGTTCCCCCTCTCCCTGTCGACATCGCTCTGTGACAACAGAGGTGTTGCGTTGTGTATATCGGTACGGCTTGCCGCAGTGTCTTCGCTCTGCGTTATGGCTTGAATGGTCAGGTGGTTCAACTCTTCTTCGAGAATCGCCGCGCATGTATGATGAGTTACTTGAGCGTTCTGACCGTGTGCATGGACAACCTCTGCAGGATATTTTACAGGACGTTGTGCGAACAGCACCACGACATCCATTTTTTGCTAAAAAAGGAGGTGGTGCAGAGGACCTTCGCAATGTGCTGCTTGCGTTAGAGCTAGCCTGTGTTTTACCATCATATCATCAGGCGTTTAGTTACATTGTGGCAACTGTTCTGTTGAACCTCCCCGCTCGAGAGGCTTTTTGGGTTGTGACGGCGCTTTTTAGCGGGTTTTTGCCCTCCGGCTACCATGAACACTACACCTTGCAGTATGACCTGCAGGTGTACAATGAGATTGTTGCACATAAATTCCCAGACGTGCATGTGCATTTTGCGTCAAAGAGTATTGATGTCTCTGTGTTTGCAAGCGGATGGCTACAAGGTTTGTTCTGTGCCCACTTCCCGTTCTGCACGGCTGCCCGTGTTCTGGATGTTCTGCTTGCCGAGGGCGATAGCAGCACGCTGGTGCGGTTTCTTGTTGCATTTACGGGAAAATTTCGGTCTGAGATTTTGACGATGGACAGCAGTGGATCGCTGGGCTACTTTGCGAATGAGTGGGCACGAAATTGTTTTAACATTGAAGACGTTGTGCGCGCGATGGAAAAGGACGGCCTGAGGTCGGTTGTTCTATCACGGAGGGAGGAACTAACGGGTGCCACTGTTGCCTCGTGATCTCAGACACTGTTGCTGCTGGTGATTGGTGCTTGGTTTCTGGATTCTTCTGTCGCTTGAATTGCCGCATGGGAGACGTTGACGGGATGTTGTTACTTCATCCCTTTTTTCTATTGTGAGTTGTTATCATGACCGCAAGTTTTTTTTCCCCTTTTGTACCTCCTATGAACAACAAATTGTAAGGGAAATGTCAACGCAATCACACCATGCGAGGGAAGGAAAAAGGGAAATAAAGGAAAAAAGAAAAAAGAAAACAAATTTGCACTTTCCATGCGGTGGCTTACTGGATTTAATAGAGTTGCTTTGCAGTGGCTGCGTTTAAACGCACAAGCACACTTGTGCGTTTAACTTTTTTGTTTGTTTGTGTCTGTGTTGGATTTTTTAAATATTTTCAAATTTTTTTGTGCTTTCGTTTATTTACATAAACGCATATATATATATATACACGTACATACGTATATTTTTTCAACGATATTATAGGCGCAAAGGGTGATGTGGACGGGGGCGCTTAAGGCACATCAACACCTGCGTACCATGCGGCGTTGGAATGAAGCGCGTGTTGGGGTTGGTCAGGACGGCATGGTGTGCAATGAGCGGCGTTGTGAGGGGGGCGAGGATAGTGATAGAACGACGCATGCCACATCTCATGCACACATCAGCATTGAGTGTGACAGGGGGGTAATGAAACGCTCACGGGATGTGGCGACAGAAAGTGATGGTAATGATTCGGGCAGTCAATTGACTCCGCTTCTCGTGGGATTTACGGGTAGCGCATCCGTGACGGAAGAGAGAGGCATGATGGAAGAAGGCGGTGATGATGGTGCGGCCCACAATGCAGTGGAAATGGTGTCGCATTCTACCGAGGTTGCAGTGTGTGAGGTGATTGTCTTGGATGATGACAGTCAAGGCGCTGAGAAAAGCAATGTACTGTCGTCGAAGAACTCCACTCCAGCGTCTTATTCGGGGAAACTAGAGCAACTACTCAACTCGGAGAAATCTGCACTGGTTTCCTCAACACCTAGTGGAGAATCACCACCGTCTATGAAATTATCCGCGGAGCAGCATCATGTCTTTGATCTTGTTGTAAAGTATGGCCGATCTGTTTTTCTTACTGGAGGTGCTGGCACGGGTAAGTCCCACCTTCTTCGAGCCATTATTGAAGCATTGCCGCGGTCTTCTACCTTTGTTACCGCCACCACTGGAATTGCAGCACTTAACCTTGGAGGATCCACACTTCATAGTTTTGCTGGTTGCGGCATTGTGGACTTTCAGACGCATAGTGCCGAAGATGTGTGTGACACGGTGCGTGGCAAGTCAAGGGCAAAGCGAAATTGGCGATTCTGCAAGGTGCTGGT